TGGCATCTTTTTCGTGATTTCTTCCGCTGTGCATTGGCGACTGCTAGCTTAATAATTTCGAGCCCCTACTAAATTTAGTTCCGGCTGCGCCCATGGCCCGAAATGTATGTGTACGTTCATTAATGCAAACATTTTATAGTTTATTACTTACATCATTCAAACAATTACAGATATTTGGAGTAGGAGCTTTTGGTGGAAACACCCATTTAGTGTTGATTGGATTAATGTCTGAGGGCATAATAACGTTCGCCATTTGAATTCCGCTGGTTCTTACAAAAGAAACGCGCTTGTGCTCGACAAACATGTTTTTCTCGAGGCTAAAACCACGCGCAATATTGTCATTAGATGAGACATCCCATGTATTTGGGATCTGTCCATGTTGACAGGTGCAGTTGTAGTTAGCTAGAGTTCGATCGAAGTTCATGTCCAGTCTGGCTGCCTTTTCTTGTATGATTGGTGAAGGCGTATCATCACGTTTACGTAATTTATTGCGAACGCAGCGCATTGTCATAAAATTTTCAGTACCACCAAACATTTTGCAACACAAGCACAATTATACCAGCATGGGGTCATACAGAAAGAGTACTGTATATAATGCGCAGGCATACAAATGTACATATGTGCGTATGTGCACTAGTATCTTTTTATTACGAGCTAATTTAAGCGTCGCACATGACTAGAAAATTTATCGATTTTCTACCACTGTATACATAAAAACACTAACATGCGTATGTATAGACACGTAAATATTATTACTTAGTTTGACGAGAAGAGCCAGCGTTAACTATAGGCCACGAGGTAGTACATTGTATTAGTGATAAAATGTCATTTTATGTTCAGGAATGCTATTTATTTGTTTAATTAAGTAGCCACAAACGATTATTTAGTGTTCATTCGTAATAAACTTTAAGTATACATACACATAGTATACATACATATATATCTACTTGGTTATTTCACTTTAACGATTCGACGTCACACACTTAACCGACGAAATGCAAACCTAACGCCGTTCTTATGCCATATCACTTCAATTACTAGCCATGGCAAAATATGTACATAAAAGCATATGTGAAGCCATTTACGCTGTGAACAACCTTTCCCTTTCTTTTAAATGTATTTCGTATACCGAAGATCACCAATGGTATTATGCTAGGTAGTATGAATTGAGAGCAGTAGTGAAAGCAGGACAGATCCATTACGGTGTATACATCCAACGTGTATATACATACATACATACGTATGTATGGTTGTAGCCCAGTCAGACGTGGCATTAGTTGTGTTTTCGTATTCTCCAGCAAAAAGTATCCAGTAACTTGCCAGTAACCAAATTTCGGAG